TCTGGGGACCAGCCCAGCCCCGTTGCATCAGGTCTCTCTGCCCCGGGACGCCGAGCCTTCGCCCACCTGCGCCGGCACAGCTGGGGTCCGGGGGTTGCTGCGGGTTGGCTATGCCACAGTAGCTGGGTCTGGGGGGCTCTGGTTTGCGGCAGAGCGGGTGTCACTTGGTCCCTACTACTGCTTGCTGCTGCTGCAAGGTCTGTCCCATGCAAACTTGCATCTGCCATCAGCTAGAAGGGTTCCCGTGGACGATGGGTGTGCTGGGCTGTGGGGATGGGCTTCGCGTTTCTGCTCTTAGAGGCATTAAACCACCCTGAATACTCCCTTTAGCTGGAATCACAGCATGCTGCGGGCAGGATAAACCACCATAACCAGCCTCAGCCGAGTGGAGCTGGGCAAGGGGATGGACTTCCCAGAACATGGCTGTGAGTACAGCCAGTAGGCGTGCGCCCAAAACTGGCCCCTTGGCTCCAGAACAGCTCCTGGGCATTCCCTGCATCCCAGTGCTCCTTGAGGAGAGCCGTGACCCAGCTGCGGGGCTTTGCCTCCAATTCCCCCAGCTCTCCAGGAGCAGCATCGGGGCGCAGACAAGTCCCAGCTGCCTGAGCCCCTGCTTTCCAGGGCCAGCAGCGTTTGCACCCCACTTGGAAGGAGGCAGCGGGATTGCTCCCAAGGGACACGGACCATGCCACTTCAGGAGACTTAAAATAACCCTAAGCCCCAAGCCTGGCTTTGTGCACGAATCTCATGAAAACCCTCATCTGCTGAAGAGCTTATTTCCCATCCAGTGTAGGTGGACAGCACAGTGGAAAAAAACTGCAGCTTTTGTGCTGCCGGATCCAAATCACCATCTGTGTTTAAGAGCTCGGCTGCTATAAACGCGGGCGGTGGAACCTGGTTAACCCGCGCCTGGGGTCTCCGGGACCGCTGGCAGCCGAAACACGCACGTGGTTGTGCTGGTCCTGGCTCTGGGGGTGGGACGGTGGAGGTGCTCTGGGCTCCTTTATTTTTAGGTGCCATCAATACAGATAAAACTGGACTTTGCGGCTGATTTAGATGAAATTTGACCGGCAACACCATTCCCAGCCTGATTGTATACCTCCTTTCTTCTCCCCCTGTACTCCCCCCTTCCAATATTTTATGGATTATGTAGCTGCTGCCAAAGGATTTGAGTTTGAAACCATACTCTATTTTGGCCTGTAAAGATGTTGAATGAACAATTTAAAACTGTGAGTCATTAAAACTGTCCAGGAGAACCTAATGAATGTTATTTACTGTGCTTCCCAGCTCAGCTAAATCCCAGCTTTTCCTTCTCCTGCTTTCTATACTTTTCTTTTCAAAACAGCAGCCAAAATTGTCTGGAAAGCATTCCTTGCTAGAGACAAACTGGATCAGTAAGTGGAAATGTCAGTTTTTAAGAACCTCTGCCACTGCTTTGAAGTAACTTCATTTTTTTTTTGGTTGCTTTAATTCAAAAGCTTTATCTTCTAGGCTATCTCTTAAAAAAAGGAAATTTAGTGGCTGCAGCTAGCATTACGGAAAAAGAAAAAAAAGAAGCTGCCAAATCCTGATCTTTTGATGATAGTCTCTTCAGAAGGCTGCCTAGGTGGGCTGGCTCCTGGGCTCCCACTCTGGCTGGGCAGCACTGCTGAGCTGAATGCAGTTACTCCCCGTTCCTGTGATGCTGGAGAGGTCAGAATAGGACCCCCCTCTTTAATTTCTGTTTGTGTTGCCGAGCTTAGCCTTGGAAATGGAAATCTGACTTGAAAAGAAACTACTTGCAATTAGAGGCTGTGAAAAAAAATAATCTAATGAGTTGCCGCTTTTAATTCCACATCTGAAAGGCAATCTATTACTGTCTTTTATCACTTCTGTCTCCTATTAGAGAAGCAATCTCATGCTGGGACTCTTTCAACACCCAGGCAGTTAATATACATTATAATTATTGCCTAATGTATGAATAGCCTGGTGTGCCCAAGTTCTCTCTTCATTTTTACTCTGCTCCTGGATAGCCCGTGCAGTACGTAAGCAGGCTTGGAGTGAGGATCTCATGAGACTGAGGAAGGTTTTAAAATTATTTATTTCTTGCAATTGCACTATCGCCTCAGAGGCTCTGTTTGAGAACAAATGCAGAATATTCATGTAGGAAGAGACGATTCCTGCCCCAGAAAGGTTGCAGAGAGACGGGCAGAGGAGGGAAAGTACGGGGAGAAGTCCCAAGAGATCGGCAGGGGATGGTACTGTGGACATCTGCCAGCTATGAGCTCAGGAGGTCTGGGTTTGTGGTGGACTTCCCTGTGCTGTTATAAAAACAAAAAGGAAAAAAAATTATGAAATTTAAAAAAGGAAAACATTCCCAAAATTTCGTTTCAACCCAAGCAAAAATATTTTTTGTCCTTGATTTATACATCTGTGCTCATTTTCAGGTTATTTAGCCAGATTTAAAGCAAAAAGAAAGAAGCAAAAAATATAGTATTTTCAAAGCAACGTGCTTTGCATGCAGACTGCCAAAGCAAAACCGTCCTCCCCAAGCTCACAAAGGGGTTTGATTTCACCCTGGGTCCCCCAGCTGCTGAAAGATCTCAGGACCAGCACGGGGTTGCTGCTTGGTGCCCCGACCGATAAGCGACACAGCCACTAAACCCCAGCCCCTTCGTGACCCGGCACGTGGATTTTCAGACACGACAGAAGCTCACAGCAGGTTGTGAAAATCCTTTATTCCTCACCACATGTTGGGGACAGCTTGATGCAATGGCGTGGTTTTGGTGCAGCAATGAGCACCAGGCAGCGTGACACAGCTTTATCCCTCGAGCCTTCATCTGAACCTGAGGTTTAGACTGGATATTAGGAAAAATTTCTTTACTGAAAGAGTGGTCAGGCATTGGAACAGGCTGCCCAGGGAGCTGGTGGAGTCCCCATTCCCGGAGGTGTTTAAAAACTATGTAGATGTGGCACTTCAGGATATGGTTTAGTAGGAATGGTGGTGTTGGGTGGATGGTTGGACTCGATGACCTTAGAGGTCTTATCCAACCAATGATTCTATGATTCTTCTCTCGAGGCTATTTACAAACTCCTGCTTCTCCCTTTTCCCCAGGGCAGCTTCCCTGAGGACCATCCACACCCAAGGACCACGTGAACTCCAGACCTGGTCGATAAACCACCCTGGCTGAGGAACCAAGGTCTGGGCTGTTCCTTCCACCCCATGAAGAACTCAGCTCATCTCTGCCAGGACCCTATGTTGGTCACAACACCAAGGCCATCTGGAGCAGCCCATACCCCCAGGATAACTTATTTGCCCCTTCCTAAAACTCTTAGGGTGCAGTTAATTATTTACAAGCCTTAACACTTGCAGCCACGTGGACCCAATGATAGAAGCGCACTAAAATTCCACTTGATGCTCACCAGGCCTGACTAATAAAATAATGTCCAACAAGGACATCAATTAGCCGCCGATTCGCTAACGCTTTGCGAGGCTAATGACAGCTGGAGCGAGGAATTTGAAACCCGAGTCATTTCTGCAGCCCGCACCGGGGTGCCGGGGATAAAAGGTTAGTCATGTGTACCAAATGCAGCGCGAGCTCCTCCATTATTTATGTGTGTCAAACAGACAAGGAGCGTTTCAATGCCTGCAGTCACTCTATGGTAATTTGTATTATATAAACAGATATAATCTGGTCATTAATACACATAATTCTGAGTGGGCTGACAGTAATGAATCTGGAGTATATTCTTCCATCGACTTGTTCCCTTGCTAAATAGCAGTCCGTATTAATAAGAAGTGATACACTGTAGCCAGCAGCACCCAAGAGCGTGGTGGGGTTCATGGTGGACTCCAGGTAGCTTTGCTCTTTGCTTTCTTGTCCTAAAGTTTTCAGCCAGGCCCTAGCTATAAACTGATCGGGTTTAGACTCCTCTTCACCAGGCCAGGTCTCTTCTGTTTGCCGGCTCAGGACCGCTCACGTTGCGTCAATCGGTGCTTGGCACTCCACACCCCACAACTCTGGCTCCTGTAAGCGGGGTTGGGTTCATCGGCTCTCCTGTTCCTCCCCACCTCTCGGGAGAATACTTTAATTAATATCTAATAACTGAGGGGGGGCTGGGGGGGGGGGGGGGTTGTAGTGGTGTAACAGGCATTTTCTGGGAAAGTAGAGGTGGGTGTGGACATCGTTTAGAGACCTGTCTTGTCACGGCTGCACAAATACATCAGATCTGTGCCACTCTCCGTAGATTTCCTTCTTTCTTAAGA